CCGGGTACCGCGCGTGGCCCCGTGCCGGGCCTCCTGGCAGCAGGGGCGTTCGCCCGGGCGGAGAGCTCCGGCCTCCCTTGGCAGTCTGGCTCTGCCAAAGCCCAGGGGATCCAGTCGCATTCTTCCCAGTGGTTTAATGGGTTTTGGTTCAGGCCCAAAACGTTTCCTTATTTCCTCCAATACCCTTTCGAACTTGGAATTTAATCCAGCATTTTTGAGGACCAGCCTGTTCGTAATGTAAGTGAGAAAATACATGTACAGAGGCTTCTTTGAAACTAAAGTTGCTACATCACCGTGCTCAGGTGGGAGTTGCATTTTAACTGGTTATATGGTCCATGAAATATTATGTGAAAGGAAGCAAATGAAAAGGAATTGGATTGAGTTTCTCCTCTGCCTCCCCATGCAGTTGCCAGGTGATACCATAAGTCAATACTTAGCACAATTGATGTAATCTGGTGGTTTCAAATGCAAATGCAAACAGTGGATTAAAAAAGTAATGTAGAACAGTTGCTATAGTACCAGTGTTTAATCAACATGCATAACAGGGTAAGCTAAATTGTTTGTTTAAAGTTTAATTTATTGTTGGTAGGCTACCTGTGAGATTACTGTGAAACCCCAGATAAAATTCTTGTAAATCCATGATCTCTTTGGGTTTTTTTTTTCTTTTTTTTAATTGTTCTTTCCCTGAGTGTATATATACTCAAGTTTCCTTGAGTATACTTTTGTGTGTGGTAACTCAGCCGAGCAATAGACATTTATCTTGAATTACTTCATTGAAAGATATGTAATAGAAGTACAGTGGCATTTAAATTTAAAGCCAAAGGAAACAAAAGAGATCAATCTCTTGTTGTGAAACTAAAACATATCCTGCCTAGAGAGCCCAAAGGTCAGGCTGAACATATTATGCAATATGTATCTGAGCGTAAACATCTTGTAAGTGTGAATGGATTTAGAGTATTAAAAACTTAAGGCTACTGTCACTTACTTCGTTATTTGTCCTGTTTTCCAGAGGTGAAGTAAGAAAAGGTTGTGCTAAGAACTATTTAAAAATACATCTGCTAATTATGAAGGCTTCAGTTTTTGTGTTCAACTCTCATATATTAGGTTCAATTTTTGGAAGCTCTGATCTTTGGTAGCTGCGATGGTTCAGCTCTGTTGGCTTTCCAGAGATGCATGACATTTCCTGGGTAGAGCAGGGGAGGGCCTTGCTTCGATGGTCTGCGTGGTCTGCTTCTCCATGTTTGTTGGTCTTACAGGTTTTCACCAATAAATAGAAGAGAGATGCAAATTGCATCACTTTGGATTGTTGACTTTGTTCACTTTGGATTGTTCAATGTATGCATTAAAGAGAACCTTTAGTATATTGACTTGGGAACTGGAAAAGACTTGAGAGGTTCTTGCATTTCATATTGGGCCCATTTTTATGGCTCTGGATACAGAAGAGGACTTGTGCACCCCAACGTCAGGGGTCATTAAGGGGGAAAAGATTAGCAGAAGGTAGCGTGGCCCAACCATTCTGGCCACTACAGCAGCGTGGTCCCAGGAGTCTTTCAGACTGAACGGCACTCCAGAGCCATCGCAGAACCGGCTGGTTGGTCTCTTTAAAATCTCGGGGGCGCGGTGTGGCAGAGATCCGGGTCGTTAGCTTTGACCTGCGCAGGCTGATCCTTAGCATGAGCTCTCCAGTGTCCGTGCTTTCTGACCCGGGAGGGCTGGGTTCCTGAGAGGGAGGCACTGTCCCTCACCGCTCAGCTGTCTTCTGATGCCCTAGTTTGGGTGAGGACGCGTTCCTGTCCTTCCAGCACAGAGCAGAAAGACCGAGGTGGTGGAAAGGTGGCAGCTTGCTGAGTGCCAGAGCAAGAGCGTGTCAGGATTCCTGCAGACAGATGAGTGTGCTTGCTGGCCTTTTGTGCAAACTCTTTGCTTTCCTGCAGAGTACATTTGTTTTTTGTTTAGCTTGAGCACATCAGTCACATAAAGTAGATCTGATGATTTCTGGTAAAATGTAGTAGCTGTGTTTAGAGAGGGAAAACGAGAAGTATTCTCGTCAATGCAAGTTGCACTTCAGACAAACTGCTGCCGTATGGTGACAGCCAGCAAAACCATACTACAGTAACATATGCTTTCTAGCCTGTAAATACCACAAAAGTTATGAATCTTGCCCTGTACAAGTTTTGTGCAATTGAATTTACGAATATGTTTGTGGGATAAGCATTCTTGGCTGTTTATGTAAATAATATTCTATAGTTGAGTAAATGGTCCCCAAAATAGGACAGTTCCTAGGCTTGCTGTCATGGATTAGTTTTCCCGAGTAGTTTGTGAGTTCTTTTGGTGTAAAGGCCAAATGGAGACCTGTTTTTTGAAACAGGCTTTTTTGTTCGTGAACAAATTAGTGGTTGGCCAGGCACCATTTTAACAGACACGTAGCTGAATCCTAAATGGTTCAAAACAGGAGGGAAGACTTAAGTGTATTTTTTGACACCTGAAGTCGAAGCCACTTAGTTTTCTGTGTAGGTGTTCCAAGTGATGAATTTGATATGCAGTCCCTCTGATGGTGGGAGCATTAAAGAAGAGGACATTGCCATAAAAAATGGATGGAAATGTGGATACTGAAGGAGGCTTTGGCTGAAAACACAAATAAGTAGTCTTCATCAGAGCAAAGATTGCACCCAAGTTAATAACATGTGTGCTAACTTTCAAGCCAGTGAAAGTACTGTGGAAACAGTGTCCTGTCTTAAAAATATGTTTTGGTGCTAGCTGTTTCTGCTAACCTAAGCAGACTGAAGAAAGCAATTTTTTTGTCTTAGATACTAGGCAGTAATGGCTGAGAGCTGGCAATGAAGACCACAGGAAAATTCCTTTGTGTAGGTAAAGTCTGATAACTGATATGCCTGGAGCTGGAGGTTGGACTAGATGGCCTCTGGAGGTCCCTCCCAACGCAAGTTATGCTTACAGGTCTTTGCAAAAGCTGCCAGAAACTCCGTCGCTGCCGTGTCTATCACCAGTTAGGAGGCGGCAGAAGGAAGGGGAGCCCGGGGCGCGCGGTGGGGCAGTGGAAGGCATGCAGGGGTTCTGGGACGTCTCTCTCCCCGGTGATGTACCGAATACTCATGCACTTCCAACAGGGCCCGCGGCAGGGCGGCGAGGGAGCTGGGGTCCGTGCCTGCCGGACTCAGCCAGGAATCCAGCTCTGGCTGTTGTATGGCATGATACTGACCTGCCGAAGGTCGGAGTTTATTATCTGAGGAGGTTGTTGTGGGAGTTGGTCTTGGAGGAGAGTTTCAGGGCTGGGCTCTGTTGGACCCTGTGCCTTGGTGGTGGTACGCCGTTCGATGCTGAGCTGCTCTGTCTTATGTAGAAGTCACTTGTTTCTGATACGAATCTTCTGGAGGCAATAACGCATTGCTTTTACATAATCTAATGGGCATTTATCTGGCAACATGCTGGGCATGATTCATCACAACAGCATTTTGTGCAGCAAATTATTGGGTAAGTTTTTATAACTTAAGCTGTAATAATTTGTCTGTCAAGGGGATGATATGCATTTGTATTGATTTTATTTCAGATTTCTTGCAACCTACAATAGTCTTACAGACAAACACCTGGTTGGATATTTCAGCAATACCAGGATAAGACGACATCTTCAGAGATCAGGACTGGTGAGATTGAAAAGTTTCCTTTTCTGAGAAAAAAAGAAAAGAATTCTTTGTTTCTTTTAATATTGCACAAGTCAAACCACTGATGGTTCTGTTGTTTAGAGGTATGTGTTGTCATTGGTAAGAGTTTGACCAACTAGCCAAACACGTGAAATTATGCTGTGCCAGATCAAAGCCACGCGATCACACTGAGACGGAGGGCGGGTTTGTTTAATGCAAGCATTTCCCACTGCATTACTATCTACCGCTAGTCAGCTAGATGTCGCAGGGACACGGGGCTGTGGTGCGTAAGGCTGCGCTGCTGAAATCAGAATGGCAGGAAGACAAGTAAAACCGAGCTCGGAGCTTAGCTCCGTGTGCTAAGTGGTTTTGAAGGCACTAGTGACAGCTGAGGAAATACTGTAGCTGGCATTGAGCACCTTTCAGGACGTCCGGGTCCAAGGGCCACCTGGGGCTATGAAGATGCTAGCATGGGGGCTGCTGGTGGATGGTGATTCCACACTAGAAGTGATGTGCTAACAGTCAGTATGGAGGCCATACTCCATAGAATATCAAGCTTACGCTTCCACTGCACCTTCTGCAATGCAGCAGTCATAATGCTTGTCTGCGTGAAACTGGGAACAGTGGCTGACACGGATTGATGATGTGTGTAAATATTGGCGAGCCTTGGCTTAGCCCTGAGCTTCTGCTTCAGTAAGTTGTTACATATGGCACTGTATTACTGCACCATTACGGTGATGTGAGAATGTTTGTCAATCTGCTTGTATTTCACATCCAGGCAGAAGAAGATATTTCATGGAGAGGTTTTGATAAACTCAGAATGTTTTTATGTTTTTGCCCCATATTTCTTTTTGCTCATTGGAGTTTGCCTCCGCAAAATCTTTCCGTTTGCAAATATACAGAATCATATTCATTCTCTTAGTTTTTTTAAACTGTGAAATCTAAGCATCTTTGACTCTACTAGCTGTTTAAATAGCTTCAGTGTTATTTTTCAAAAGTTTTTAATGGAAAATGGAAGGATTTGGTAAAGGTGAATGTGCTGAATATTTTTAAAAATACTTAGTCACTCCTAGGTGTGACTCTGTTTAGCACAGGCAGATGCAACCCTTATACAGTAGGAAGGCAAGTGTTTAATTTCCCTCCACTGACTTGGGCAATGGCCCATGAAGAGTAAGGCTGAGCCCTCACCTGTTAGAAAATGTGACTGCTGCTCTCCTGCTCTCTTCATTTGGCTGAGGGGGTCCCTGGCGTCAAAGAAACTACAATTCTCTGCTGGGAAGGTGAATTCCAGCACCGGCAGAGGTGGTAGCTAACGGGGAAGAGAAAGTAGCCTTTCTGGGAAATTGCCCTCTGTTTAAAAACATCCTTTATTCTGTCTTCTCCTCTTCTTTTTAGTTACATTGTATTTGTTTATGGCAGATCTCAAGGAGTGGACGAATAATATCTGAGAAAGAATACCGGCTAAATGCTATGAGGAGGGATCACCAAAGATACGTACAGGAGTGCCTGGCTCGGGCTATATTTCATAAGGTCCTTGACATGGAGGTATGCATTTACTAGTGATGTGTAAGCCTTTTCAGATACTTCCCTACGGACAGCCAGTGGCTGTTAACTCGTACCGGACTGTTTTCCGTAGCTGTGCCCTCGTGCTCCCTGCTGCTGGGAGAAAGGACAATCTTTGTGCTTGATGTCCCCCACATGAAACCTCCACTAGCCTCTAGTTGTTATGTATGTATGTCGTTAGAACATACACTGTCCTGGCTCACCTGCTGCCCTTTGGCAGTCATCAGATTATGGGATGATATTCACAGGGCTAGTTTGCTTAAAAAAATTCTAATCAAAACAAAATAGTTTGAACGTGGTTATATATCTTACCCGAGTACAAAATTGGGGCACATTCCTGTTACATATCAAGAATGGAGTTGGTCCCTACAACTTTACAAATGCTCAGTTGTTCCCTTGCCAATGTTAATATACACAGGTGTAATGCAAATGGATTGAATCAATACTAGTTTCATAATAGGGCTCAATGAGGGTAACGACCAGGGAGCAGGCAAGTGATAAGCAGAACAGAAGCAAGTGTTCTTACATTCATTGACATCTCATAATGTCCATTAATGAGATTTCTCTTTCTCTTACATTGATAGCGTCATCATCAGCTGGAAATAAAAAGGAAACTTGAAAATTCTGTGAGGAAGGACAGGGTGCAGAAAATCAAGGTAAGGCTTGAGTGCTACTGAGTACTGATGGGACATGGCAGTTTTGCCCTGTGTTAAATAACAGCCATGAGTCAGGCCAGAGGTTCATTGAGACAAGTGTCCTGTCTCTGATGTTTATGGAAAAAGTACAAGAAACAGGCAAGTAGAGGATGATCCTGCCCCAGGTTACATGTCCTTCTTCCTCTATCCGGCAGTTCAGGAACTTCTGTTCATGCACATGATTCCTTTTGAATCTACTTACTATTTTGGTTCTGCAGTCTTCTTAGTTGTGGAATTTAATTATGAGTTGTATGAAATGGTACTTCCTTGCGTTTCTGCAGAATAATTAATGTATCTGCTGTCTGATAATTGATGCTCCATTGTTCTCGTTATGAAAAAGGTTAATAACTGTTCCCCTTTTCCAAGGCATTTGTGATTGTACATACCTTTTTCATATTCCTTCTCAGTTTTCCAAGCTGAAGACCCTTAGTCTATTGAATCTTTCATACATGAACTATTCCAGGCTTCTCATTACTGTTGCCATTTTTTTCACCTTTTCTAGTTCTACTATATCTGTTTTGAAATGGGGAACCAGAACTGGATGAATAATTTAAGATACCCGTTGCAGTTCTTCTCCTCGTAATTCTAGACACTATCTGCTTTTGACTGCTGCTGAGCACTGAGCTCACATTTTCAGTTGTTTGCCTCTCCACATGATGTTTAGCAGAACCAGCATGTAAGTAATGAAAAGAGGTTTCAGAAGTCTTCACTTTGGTGTCATGTAGGTAGAGCTTGATCCTGTAGTTGTTAGAGTCATGGAAATCCCACAGACGTCAATGCTGCTTCTCCCCGTGAAGTCACGTGGACTCATATGGGAAAAGTTGTTCTCATTTTGGCTGAAATAAACCCAACATCTTACTTCTTTATTAGGAGCCTGCATACATTGAGAAGAATGCATTGAGAAGCTAGCTGCTTCCTTGAGCAGTTGAAGAACAATGTCAAATCTTTTTAATTTTAAATAATACATTTATGAGCAATTCATCAGGTAAAGAAAGGAGGAGATTTTAATGAAAAACACTGATCACTATGGTAATTGCAAAGGCATTATTTACTGACTGAACTCTGCTGGTAGAAAGTCGCCACAGGGCGACTAAGGCACCCTGTCAAGGGATTCTGGACTTGGATAATTTTGGAACATAAGCCAAAACTGCTTCCTTCAGTGAGACGCGTAAGGGAGAAGCCTGCAGATATGTGATCGGTATCTTTGCTGTGATGCCACACTGGGACACAGCAACCTGGCTGGAATTAGCAGTGTAATTTAATTCTCACCTCATACATTCAGTGAATTCGGCTGAGTAGCTAATCTAAAAGGAAAGGAGAAAGACAGATGGCTGGGCAAGGGAGGAGCTATTTCCAGAAGGGTAGTCAGCCCAGTGTGGAGCTTTTGAGAAGAAAAGGTAGGGAGGGGCAGCAGTCAGAGCAAGGAAGGGGCAGGTGCACTCAAATTTAAAAAACGAAAGAGACCTTCTACGAAACCAAAAATTGGGAGATACATAGAAACAGGCAGATCAATTGAATTTGGGGGGATCTGCAGCTGGAGGGGGCTGCAGGGAAACGAATCAGAGATGGGAACAAGTCTTCTCCCTCGTCCCCCTCTCATTCTCCCCTTGATTTCCTTTCCTTCCTTAACCAGGTGTTCCATCGGGTCTAGGCAATTTGATCGTCATAGCTGTCCGATGAAAGACAGACGGAAGGCAAGCTCAAACATTGCTGTTAAGAGTATTTAGTATCTCAGAGAAGTAAATTTCTATTCTTTTAGGTGGAACAATCCAGAAGATCGGTGGAAGGTGCTAGCCCTATGCGCTCCCCACATCCACCACTTGGCCCAAGAAATCATTATGGGCTCCATCCTTTAGTGGCTGGAGAACCAGCTGGTCACTCACAACTGGTGAGCTTCACCAAATCCTCCATATGCTATAAGGTAAGCACACACAGCTGAAAGCGTGCACATATACCTGTGCCATCTGTGCTTAGTCTAGAGCATTGACTGCCCTGATTGTTCCAGATTAGGGCCTCATCCTTCATCTCTTGAGGCTGATTTCCTGTTTGCAGGGTTGTGTCATTAAGGAGAAATCTCGAGAAGCCGATGTTGCAGAAATAGCACATCAGAACTTAGTTAAAAATATCTTTGCTTGTGATAAATCTGCTTTAATCTTTCCCTTTTATCTGCCTTATCACGCAAGGTTAGGCCAGTATCAGTACATTAAGTATTGTCAATGAATACTGTGGCTGTAGGCAAGTTTACAGATGTTGTAGAATCCTGCAAGCAATGGATGTCTTTTAGAAAACAGAATTGAAGGGGTGCAATAAGACTAACGCTCTTTCCAGAAGGCCGTGCTTTGGAGCTCTGGCTCAGAAGCCTCTTACTCTCTGTTAACAGGCAGAGAAGGAATGTTAATGTACTCTTGAAATATAATGATGCTAAAGTCTAAGGTCAAAGGTCAAATATATAGTCCAGTTTTAACTGGTTCTCCATTTCAGTAATGATAATTGGTGCAGATTGAAGAGAGACTTTCAGTCCTGAATGACCTTTTCCTCTCCATCCCATACAGAGGGCACCTGGACCTGTAGTTGATTATAATGGTGGACGTCCTTCTCATCAACACCGATCCAAGGAGCCTGTCTTTTCTAAGATGGTGAGTTTACTCAGTTAAATAGTTTTTTTAGGTTTTAACATTTTAATGTGGTATTCTGAAGGGTATACAAGGAAAAGATGAAATAAAAAAGTCAGAAAAATGCTGATATTGAACAAAAATAGGCATGCTTTTGTCGTGCATTCTCTCAGTGTTCATGTGCTGAAGTCACCAAAACACAGCACACTGCTACAGTTTCTGAGTTCATTATGCTTGCTTCAAGGCTGCACTCTTGAGGAGAGTAGGAGAGACAGTAGCAAAACCTAGATTTATGCCCAAGAGTTATTTTGGATGCTCCAGTTTTTGGATGCTCAATTAGAGATGCCTAAAGGAGTCTGGCTCTTCAGAGGCAGACTAGAAAATTTCATTTCCTGAAGGTACCTGAGAATCACTCATCACTTCCAAATATCTTGATCAGTGCTATTTTTTTTTTCTTTATGATGCTGCTCTGCACTGGAAACTGTACACTGAGATTTTGTAGCTGTTTGCTTTTTCCTTTTCTAGACTTCCTGGCGACCAAATACAGCTCCAGGAAATATGCAACACCCACTTCGCCTCCAACCACTTCACAGCTGTGCTGCGATAGGGTCTGTACCAAAGACTTCAAGCTCTAAACAAAAGTGCTACACACTTGAAAATGATCAGCAGTTTGCCAGTGGGGTGAGGCCATATTTCATTCTGAAAATAATATAATTTTAGGGACAGCTTTATAATACTGCTTTAGTACTGTAGTTCCCAGAACTGTATACTGCAGGCAACATGCCTACCAAATGGTTATCAGCTTTTATTTAAACTCTCCTTTTTGACCTCCCCTTAATTTTCAAGACATTTTCTTACTGGTCTAATGCCCAGTCCTTGATCACAGCCAGGAAAAATGTGGTGACTTCTCTTCCATAGTACAAAATCTCTCCGCATGCAAAATTTTCTGCCTCTACATAGATTTTCTGTTATGTAGAGAGGGAAGAGCCACTTGGTTAACACCAATAACTCAGGAATATTTTCAGACAGTCTTACAAGTTTTCATCTTCATCTACAGCTGCAAAGTAGCAAAAAACTCATTTCTATTTTTTACCATTCCTCCTGCTAAGTCACACTAGTGGGTTCAGAGAATGAGAGCTTTTAGGAGTAGCCAAACATGATCTTGATATATATGCAGTTACTTTCAGGTGAGATTTGGACTTGTCTTCTGTTCTAGAAAGACATTATGTAATTGGTTTTGTGTTAGGAGTTCCATGGGACTGGAGGATTTTGGAATGGGACAGTGACCTGCTACTCCAGACTGGCAGACACTGTTTGAATAGCTCCCTTCTGCATTTGCTCTGTATTGTGATGGTCACGATCCTTTCTCCAAGAATTTGCTGGCACTATCTACGTCTACTCAAATTATGGGTGATGTAGATGGTTTCTTTAACGCTCACTACTGACAAAACAGCTAAATCAGATCCAGAGCATGCAACGTTTGCAGAATTTGTTCTCTAGAGACGTCTTGCTTTTCAGGGCCCTGGTTCTCTCTTTGCATTTCATCTTGAAGGAGGATTAAACCTCCACTACAAATGGGAAAGAAGTGTTTTGAACCACATCTTGTGTAATTGATGCCAAATGATGTTGGAAGATTCTGGCTGCTTTGGAAATTGCTTGCCAGCTAAGAGAACGCAGCAGTGCTGTGGGGTTGTGCAGCATTCTGTCTGCTTGTGATTCTAACTCTGCATGGTTACAAGTAGTACATGGTTTACAATGTTGTATATATCTATGAGGGTGACATTTTCAAGCAATCTGCCTGTTGCTTTGCAAATTAAAAGAAAGGGTTTTAGCACAGAAACGTTTTCATGAACAAAATTGCAAGCACCAAGTTAAGGAATTGTTCTAGAAGTATATGTGTTACTAAATGTAAAGAGCAGTCAAACCATGGTGAGTTCAATTTAACCTGATTAAAATGTTTTTGCAGGGGGAGAAGAGTGGGTTAAGACTTATGAATTCAGTGGAGTATGTGACTGGTATATCCCCATATCAACTCCCCGTCATTAACAATTATGTGATACCAGTGCCACCTCCCCCCCTGCAAAAAGGAGACAAGAGCATAAATGCCGTGAGAAATGGGATGCCCAGAGGCAGACGATTTCATCCCACCACTGCACCAAATGGCTTAGAGCAACTTTTAATAAAGGTAACTTATCTCTGTCTACTTCTCAGTTTATGTATAGGTATATTACCTTCCTCACTGATGTATTCGCCTAACGCTGAAAGATGTGTATACCTAGTTTGCATAAAGATTCACTGAATTTTTGAAAGAAAGAAAATTTATAACTATTAAAATATATAACTGCCACCCATCTCTCTATATACTAAAACATTTGATGTTTTTCATCAGGTGGGGGAAAAAAAGGTGCTTAAACAGAAAAAACATAGCAACTCTTATTTAAAGCCTTCCATCTTAGTCAATCCGATCCTGTCTCTGCCCATATCTAGTACCAGAACTTCAGAGGGATATATGAAATGCCTTGAGTGTATGAAAATTTCATCTGTTACACTATAGCTCCAGCCAGTTTTGACTCCTGTAAAGGAAATTGTAGAAACCCAGGACTGGGAGGGACAATATGGGTCATTAAACCTGGTCCCTACAATTTTGGGCAATTCAATGCAATGGATTTTCAGTCCAAAATATTTTCCTGCCCTTCTGCATGTTACAAAACACTTTCCAATTTAAGCAGCTCAAGGCCTGTCTTAAAAGACTGGAAGCCTCAAGTATGTGCCGCACATACATGATCTTTGTGTTTACCTTTTGTAAGAGTTGGAAGCTGAATGCATTTTTTGTGTATTTCCTGCTGCAGAATTCTGGAGGATTCCCTAAGCCCTCATTACGCAGCAATGCATTTGTTACCATGGTCTTTCTAGGAAAAAGTGTGCATTTATCTCATGATGACGCTGATTACAGAGATGAAATCAAAGTCTATCAGCAGCATTGTGGAGGAGAAAACCTTTGTGTCTACAAAGGCAAGCTATTGGAAGGAGGTAAGGATAAAGAGTCAAAGAGTTCATATTGATTCTGGCAGCATCTCTTTTTTTTGGCTAAAATCTTGGTGTGATATCAAAATGATTTCAGCTGAGCTCAGTCAAGGTATATGCATCCATGGATTTCTATACCATCTGCCTCCACACTAAATCTGGATCTACCGCTTCATGATTGAAAGTGAGGTTACAATTACTCTTGCAAATTATGATAGAATGAATTTGGAGAACTGATTTAGCAAAATACTGTAGCTTAGATTAATTTTGTATAGAGATGTATGCGTAATAAAGTAGTTGTAGCGGTAAACTGTCCTTAAATAGGGGTTATCTGTTTCTGACTTGCTATAATACATCAATGCATGTTGCTTATTATTCCAGAAGGAAAAGTACATAGAGGGAGCCCAGTTCCCATCTCTTTTACATGGGTGCGATTCCATCACGCCAGTAAAAGGCAAATTGTGTTCTGGGAAATTGGGAAGAGGAAATGGCTGGGAGATTTTCACTTATGAGGAAGAGTGATTCCACAGATCATGCCCCTCATTCCAGCTGACAGAACCCACTGTGTTTGCATTTTCACTGGATATGGGAAGAAGGTGCAGAGATCCCTGCACGTCAGCCTGTCCCCCGAGGTTATGGGTGCACTGCAGTGTGCCCACAGATCTGGTCAGGGCCTTTGTTGCAGCTGTGTCCCAGCTGTGCGGGAGGTGTCCTTTGTTGCGCTCCTGTTGTCCCGAGCCCCATTCACACCTATTAGGGAACCTGCTGGAGTACAGTGTGGCTTCCTCCCTGCTGGCGTGTGCTCAGTTTACTTGGGAAGGATACTATGACTTGTGGGTTAAGGGAGTACAACCCAGTCCCCCCACGGGCATGCCGAACATGGATGCCGAACAGTGCCCCTGCAGAGTAGCCTGAAATGGCGCCAGAAACAGCGTCTTTCAGCTGCTCAGTGTTGCTCTGAGTACGACCGTATCGGTGCAGGCCCAGAGCCACTAATACTGCAGCTGACTGATCTGGAACCTGGTTGCACTGTGCTGCACTGAGGAGTGTGTGCGTTACACTGCAGCGGCTCTAACATACTGCTGCACTGCCAGTGTGTGCAGCGGCTCTAACATACTGCTGCACTGCACCATGTAGACACACGCCAGGAATCCTAAACTTTCTGTGCATAACGTACTCTCCTGTAAGGCAAGCGGCAGAGTTAATTTTTCCGAGATGGGAGGCTCTGGTCTCTGTTCTGCTAAAGCAGTGAGCGGCCAAACTGACGATGTGTTCGCTTGTCACAGGTGTGTCCAGCTTGGTATTCCTCGGTCAGAAAGAGACAAGGCTGTTGTGTAGGGAGGAGGTAGAGTTTTACCAGCTAATTAATACAGCCGAGAACCGAAGTACCTGACCTCAGAGGGCTGGGTGCTTTGGTGGTGATGCAGATGAGATACAACAATTGCAATAGGCTGACAGTAAAGCATAACCTTTTTCTTTGAACCCTTCCCTTTCTGTGATTACAGAGACCTTTCAGTTCGTCTCAAAGAGGCACCATGGTTTCCCATTCAGCCTCACCTTTTTTCTCAATGGGATGCAAGTGGACAGGATGAGCTGTTGCTGTGAGTACAAACATCAGAAGCGTTCCAGGCTGGGAGGCAGACATGGATACTTCGGGTTTCTCAATGTGGAGGGAGCATCTCCTTGCTACAGGTATGGAGACGAATACACTTTGCTCACAAGGACTTAGCAACCCAGTTTTTAGGGAGTTTATCACTTGCTTGCTCCTTTTTAATCTTTCTGGCACCCCACAGCTCTGTAGAACCTCGTCTGTTTCTCAGCACCCCTTGAAATGTGCAGAATTGAGCTTATCCCTCAGGGTCCCACATCCAAGGATGCCATCAAAGTCAGCTACTTTTGTGCTGCCTCTTCGGTCACTCTGTGGAGTACGCACAGCAGTGGACAACGTTTGCACCGGACCTGTCAGCTTGTCAGGAGGCAGTCAGCGCTTCCTCTGCAGTCGAGTGTGGAGGAATAGGTGTGGGGTGGTATACATATGCTGCTGGCATGTTTCTGGCAGAAGTGATAGTGAAATAAATATCGAGAGTGCTGCTGAGTTAACTGTAGTTTTCAGGCTTTTCTTTGTGATTATGAGAACAAGATAATTTATTTTTAAACAGCTCTGCCTCTATGGTGGGATTCTGCTGTAATACCCCTGGCTCCAGAATAAGGGAGTATTGAATGTTAGCCATGTTTTAGACAACAAATCTGTGCAGAAGATTCTTGGTTTTGGGCAAAAGTCAATGCTGTGAGCAACAGCTGTGGGTTTGCCAAGAAGCTTTAATTTTAATAAAATCTTCCTTTTGTGTGATTGTTAAGTCATGCCCAACAAGTAAACTTCTGCACACACGGATAATTTTAAAACTTTTTTGTTCTTTTCATAAGTAATTTTTAAAAGACGTCGTGGTTGAGCCCCAGCCGGCTACTTAGCAACAACTAAAGCATCAGTGTGTTATCAACATTATTCTCATATTCTCATCCAGATTCTCCCCATAAATGACAACTATTTTCACGTCTCCTTCAGGTCAAATGCAGTTGTATTTGTTTCCTGTTTTGCATATGACACCACATCCACACATTAAATACGCACTCTGATTCTCCGTAAAGATTCCAGTTGATTTGCCATGTTGGGTTAAGGCTTTGGTTCAGAAAGAGGTAATGCCGCAGTGATTTCTACACTGATGCTGTGATCGTTGCACAGAGAGTTTTCTGCTTGCTGAGGTCCAGCATTTCTGCACAGTAGAAGTGCTTCAATATCTCAGAGGTCCCTGAAAAAGAAACACGAAGAAGTAATTAAAAGGTAGGACTCAGAAATTGTCACATTTACATTTTATGCCCACAAACCAAAAGGATTTCTAGGCTGAATGACTATAGGATATTTCACAGTAGTTTGTAAACAGCTGGAATGTGAGGGGAATTGCATTCAAGCCTTACATAAAAAAAGCAGTTTTGGTGGAGGAAAAGTTTTTAAGACATAGTTGTCTGTGAAGAAAATACGGTTTTCCAGAGAGACTTGTGATTAGCTAAAGTGAAAGTTCCAGTTTCCGTTTCATCCTCTGCTTGCAGATTTGAATCAACGTACTACATACGTCACATTGTCCTGACACTCGTAGGTGGTGTAGGGTGGCTCTTCGTGTCTGCAGTTAATGTTAATCAGGACTAGAAACTCTGGTCTCTTACATGAGCCTCCTAACTGTAACATGGAGAGGCCGTCACTCCATTTCATGCAAGAGGAGCAGTCTCAACAAGTCATTCAAAATGCTTTGTTTTCCAACTGTTTGGGTTTCTGTTAGGTAGGAAAAACAGAACAGAAACTGAAAAAATAATTCATTTCAATCTCCCTCTTCCCCTGCAGTTATTAGACCCAGCAGAGAAATTAAAAAAAAAAAAAGTCTTATCCACAAAACCCAAGTTATCGATTTACTGGGTGTTACAGCAGGATCTGGATCAAGCACACCTCTGACTTGGAGCTTGTCTGCCTTTCTCAGTGATTATATCTTCACAGATCATGCTTGGTATAGCTTGAAATTAATGGACACATGGTAATTTTGATTTAAATCTGTTTATACTTCAGTTGTCACCTTTAAGTGCAGACAGTGTTACCCTCCTTCAAGGAGGAACTGCATCGGTGTTTTGTGGAGCACTTGAGGATTTTAGGGTGCTTCTCCAAGTAAGTAATTATCAGTAACCTTGTTGTCTGTGTGGCAATGCAGAGGCAGATATGTACCTGGTTTTACTGCTGATAATGAGCTCACTGTGTCTGCTGCCCTTCCGTTGTTCACAGAAAAAAAACGTGATACTTTCCAATTCTCCTTGGTTTTTTATAGGTGTATTATTGCAATGGGTCTGGACAAAAAGCCATCCCCTCCCAAAAGAAAGATGGAGGACCATGAGGAAAACCATGTGGGTTCCTGGAGAGATGGAGTGCGCAGTGAGCCAAGTAAAAGCAGTGTTGAGCAGAAATCAAGCAAAGATTCAGTGTTAGTCATCTTACCAGGTCATGAAGTAAGTGTAGAAACTATTGAGGACAAAATGGAGACCGCACAGGAGTACAGAAAAGAAGAAAGGAAACAACTATCTGATCGTGAGAGTGAAGATAGTCAGGAAGACAGCGTTAAAAATGGTACAGTATTCCAAAACACAAGCAGGGGATGAAAAATGGGAGAGGATGATTCTGGAGAAGGTATGGGATTATGGGCCTCCAGCTTCGCCTGGAGCATCCTCTCTTAGGACACCTCATGTGTGAGAAATGTGGTGATGCCTGTGTCTGGGCAATAAAATTAATGGGGCTCCTTTCAGCCAAGCAACAGGATGAGAGGGTTTTGCAAGAGCCAAGAAAGTCAGTAAGGAAGGTCTGAGAGGCTGAAACAGGAGCCTGAGGTAGGTTGGAAAGCAGGAGGAAAGTGGGGCAGACTGAAGGGACAACAGTGAAGGGGGAGAACGGCAGCAGGAGAATGGCAGCAGGTGGAGGACAAGTAGAGAAGAAGGAAGAAATGGGGCTGGGTCTGAGTCTGAGGTGAGCTCCTGAGGGAGACGGGACATCAGCATAAGGTGAATGGAGAGAAGACGCTGGCCATAGGGGCAGGAGGTGGAAGAGCCTCCTGCTGCCTGATGCGAGATGGATGGGAGGGAGGGACGAACTGGGAAGGGGAGGAGGCTGAATGCTGGATGCAGAATGGGAGGGAAGAGCACATAGCAGCAAAATGTCAGCACGATTTAGCGCCAGATGGACTATTTCGATCTTTTCTCCTGTCTGTTGCCAGTGGGCGTGCAATGCTTTGCCCACCTGAGGCTCTTTCCAGTCCCTTCTCCACCACATGGCCCCAGGCACCGCTTACCTGACACCTGCCCAAACCTCCAGCTTCCTCGCTTGTCTGAGCGTTTGTTCCCTCTGCTCCAGGTCTACCAGCTCACCTTTCTTGCCTTCTCTGCTCCGACCCCGCTGGGGCTGTCGTCCTTCCCCTTTACCGAACGCTCCCGTTGCCTGTGGTAGCTGGCTGGCCTTGCCTCTTTTGCTTGAGTCCCGTCTCATTTCTGTTGACAGGGGTTTAAGAAGAAAGACCGGACAGAGGCTGCCCTTGCTGAGAGTTTGCCAAAGGGGTGTTTCTTGTGGCAGACAAAGACAATATCTGTGGTATAAAAATGATGCGAGGCAGCTCCAAGTGCATGCTCAGAACGTGCCGTTTCCCCAGTGCCACCTAAGGCTGGTCCCTGTTGCCATCAGGCTGCTTCCAGCTCTGCCTGCCGCTACAGGCAGAGACGGTGAGCTCAGCCTGTGCCTCCACTCACTCCTTATTATAAAGCCTTTTTCAGAGTAAGTCAAATTTAGAGAGAGATTTTAATTCCTACTTCCTATTCCTATTTTTACTTTCGTAATTCTGCAGTGCTACTGCTCAGCTTCCTCGTTAGTCCCTGTGGATGTGTATTTGTGATTAATCAAGCCTTTTTCCTGCCAGGAGGTGGGCACCTTTCTGACAGTTACCCAAGGAGGCCTCACTTCCAACAATGCAGTTGGAATCTCAATTGATTTTTAATACAGAAAATAAATCTCCTTATTCCCTTAATTCTCATTGTCTGGGTAATTGTTTATTTGCCTAATTGGTTCTGCATCAGATACTCTTCATTTCAGTCCTTGGCATTCTGTCACTTCAGTACTTTAGAAACACTGATGGAAAGAAATAGAGGTGAGCAATAAAATCTGAAAGGTGAGAAATTATGTCCATGAGGGGCAGCTGTGACAGTGTCAGCAGTGACAGCTCTCCTTCACAGTTTAGGTTTGTTGCCTCTCTGCTGCATGAGCAGTGAGCTAGTGGTAGCGGTGGAATTACTGAATTTTAAGTGGAAATCACTGACATCACCGTGCATTCTGGTGCTGGGGATTTTAAATAGTGCAGCCTTCGCTGGAAAGGGAGGGATTCTTTAATGCATATGCATGAAGACAGTCTTTACCTATAGATCTGGGCAAAGTTATCTATCAAACGTTACAACTTGTCAGGCTAGTAGCCTGGGATGAAATCCAGACCATGTTGATGTAAGAATGGCAATTCTGCCGTAAGCTTCATTTGTACTAGGATTTCGCCTGGGACCTGAATGAGCGTATTAGAACAGTGGGATAACAGAATGTTCCTCTGCAGCACCCTTTGGCTGGATTTAATTAATTCATTTAGTTTGTAAGCCACTTCTTTGCTAATTAGCCATGTCAATCCACATTTATCTTACTTTGCGCTACAATGCATTACCTTTCTCCAGCTTTCTCTATTGCTTGTATTTTTTTTCATCGCAACAAGTTTTTCTCCTGTAATGAGATTGTCTTGTGTTTTATTTCTGAGTTTGCCCAGCTCTTAATTTTTCTAGTCCTTTCAGTGGCTAATGATTTTGTTTGTTTTGTTTTTAGTGTATTAATCATACTTGATGCATCCGGTAGCTTGATGCATCATTCAGTAGCTTTATTGCATTTTTGCTACTCTATCTATGAAGAACATGATGCTTTTTTATGATAATGTGCTGTTATGATTCCTATCTGTGGTCTTAGATTCTCTCATGGCTTTAAAAAGACTGAGCAAATGCAAAGGCAAAAGGAGATTAATGAAGTTAACCTCTGTCTGCTTAAAAAGAACTTTATTAGTTGTGAATTCCGTTTCCAGTCTCACAGTGTGATTCTTTTATTTTAGAGTATGATGAAGATTTTGAAGCAGATAAAGAAGTTAATGAAGAGGGACAGACTGGTGATCAAATGAATGGAATGTCAAAGTCATCCTCGGATGATAAAAAACATGATTTAGACTATGAAAAGGAGAGTAAAAACTCATCACAGAAAGCACTGCAGGCGTCTGACAGTGAGAAAGATGAAAGTGATGGATATTCTGACAGTGACTCGGAGGGTGATAAACAAGGTTAGTTTTTTCCATAATGAGGCTTAGAGAAGTTGACCTGATGTGTGTTTTACATTTTGTGTGTGTCCAGTACGTATGTTGAGTCTGCATAGGAAAAACCATGCAATTCCTACTGAAGTGGTAAAAGATAGCTATTTTATCTGTTCGTATTAATTCTACCATCTGTCACTGAAATACAGCCAAACCCACTGGCAATGTAAGCGTGTGCCAGCTCACAGCAGATATTGCTGAACTATTTAGTTGCAGAAGTGGAGATGGAGCCAGTCAGCAAATTAGCTCTAAATACTTGGGTCAGATCAGCACTTCGTGTCAGTGGTCAGTGACATCCGAGAAGCTAGGACCACTTACACCTGCTGAGGATACGCACTTTTATCTGAGAAGTCACCAGGAAATCCAGCATACCGCCTTGTATTTTAGAAGTGCTGTCTTTAATGGCCCTGAATAATCAGAACCTCAGCTTTGTCCTCTGGTACATCACTGACTCTGTCCTGGCTCAGGGAGGAAACGCCGTCAGCTCAGCTGTCCGTTCTGCTTGCAGCGGTTAGGCAGTTTGTGAGCATCCTTGTTCAGGTCTGGCTGTGAATGAGTAAGAGTCTGAGTCAGTAGCATAGTCTGTGATTCTTGATCCAAATGTAGGTACAAAAGTGTGCAGTGAAGTGTCCAAGACCATTATTATTATTAGTTCAGAAAGATTAAACTGTTCTGGAATAAATTTTTGTAGAATAAGTAGCATTTTCTGTCATTCAGTTTTTTGGATCAGCACTTTTAATGTCTAGTGTTTTAACTATTGGCCTTCATGCAGTCCAAGTTGTGCATCTTCATAAATAATCCCACAGAAAACTTGCAGGTAATTTCTCATTTATTAGACAAACAGTAGAATTCCATCCACCACGTGGTGAATAAGCCAAAAGTGAACTGCCTCTTCCTTCTGGCACAGTATTTTATTTCTCTCTAACATTTCTCCTCTATGGCTTTGTTAGATCCTGAGCTGACTTATGTGCCTCTTGCTTGTCATCATGTACCAGGATTTCTCCATTTACTGCTGTTTTAAAATTAATTACTTTATCTTTCTTACATTTGACAGTCTTATTGTACAAACTGTTTCTCAAGTTAAATGGAAACATTACTTTCACATTTGTATTTCTAGGTGAATTAAACAAAGATAATACAGCTGTTTGTGGAAAGGTTGCAGCTGCAAGAAAGATCCAGTCTTTTTATAGGAAGTATAAAATCCAACAGAAATTCAAATCAGGTTTGAAACATCTTTGCTTGTAAAATCATTGCAGTGATCAAAAAGAATCTTAATTTTTGTTTTCTCATGATAATCAGAAATAGCTTGTAATTCATGAATAATCAGTACAATTAAGCATTCTTTTCTGCTTGTTAGTGTATGGCGTTACGAAATTTTTCATGACTTTAATCAAGAGCTTCTCAAGCTCTAGCAGTGTGTGATGATCAAATGAAAGTGTCTGGGTGCATGGTTGTGCATTGGTGGAAAGGAACAGGTAACTCCAAGGGCCCTTCATGGCTACCTGTGCATTAAGGCCTTTGTTAAGGGCCACCCTTATCCACCTTTGTACTGGGATGTAATACTGCTGCATGCACCAAAACTCACTAATTCAATATAAATTTTTCTATGATGAGGAGAAAGCCACCAAATCTTGAAACATGGACATTTAACATTAGCAACTAATAGTGTGAAACAGCTAGTCATCTAGGCAGGGGTTCCTTCCCGGTCAGCTGGCAGGCACTGCTAATGTTTTTCAGTTTGTATTTGCCATGGCTTGCTTTGTTCGCCTTTACTGCAGTAGCTCAGGACATGCATTTAAATCATTTATGTTCTCTGTGGTTTTAAATAAGACAGGTTTAATCTTCTTTCTTAGCAGCCTGATTTGCTGCTTCTATCTTTTAATCAGCACACTAATAGAGTGTTCATCAGTTATTACTTGCATCTCATTTGGCAATCAGCAGTGGGCCATGGGTGTCCGGCACTGGGGAGCATTACCTCTGTGGAGATAAGGGAAGCTCTTTTCAAAGGTGCTTCTTGAGAAGCTCACGACTTGGGGTCAGTTTTCCCTTTGGCCCCCATGAGCTGTGATTTCTTAATCTTTTCTCCGTGACTTTTGGAGAACGGAGGCAGAGAAGCTGGCTTTACTTCATTTTCCCTGTTGTGTTTGCTGAGGATGTCAGGAAGAGGTAGGTAATATTCTAATTTGACATTTGGTGTTTTAGTGTACGGAGTGGTTACCCAAATACTGGATGGGGACCTAGAGGGACTGTTAGAAGTCTAAATATATAAGTACAATAACTAATGGAAGAGGCATGAATTAGGAGTTAGGGATACCGGTGGAAAAGCCTTTTTCGTGATTGTTGGTTATATTGTGAATGCATCTGTTCTGTGCTCTGAGCGTTGTTTGACTGCTCCCCGTAGGTGTAAATGACTGTCAACAAGAGGAGCAGTGCTTCCAACATTTATCTTCTTGGGGCAGGAAGCCTGAAGGAGTTCTGCAGTCCTTATTTAGCACTAGGAAACGGTAGACTGTAACATCAGATAAGGATGTTTTAAGGTTACTGTTAGATTTGGGTGACATTTCAGATCACCGGAATTTTGGATTTCTAGGGACTTTGCATTTAAGTGTGAAGGTCGGGATGATCTTTTTGTTCTGGCCGTAGTGATTAATCTTCAAAGAGATTACTACACTCAGGGTGGTAGAAGCATTCCGAAACCGATTGGTATCTACTCCTTTGCGTTTGCACAGAATGTGTTTACAGACAGTAAACAGTGGAACCCAAACTGGTGCAGGGCATTTCCTTCTGCATGAATAGGAAATGTGCTGTAGGAAGGGTTTGTCATCTTCCAAATGTCTTTTTACTGTTTACCTGATGGCATTGGAGTCCTCATCTAGTTTTATCCAGATTTGTTTTTAATCCTTTAAAGAAAATGATAACTTTTTTGCACTGTTTTTGTTAACCACTCTAGGCATAGATACATTAAACACAAAATGCCTGTGATTTTTTACACCCATATCCTATTTGTTGATTTTTGATATTTTCCCCTTTGTAATGAAATCTTTCTACTTCTTTTTCTTCCACCGCTGAACAGAAGAGGTGGAGAGAAGGAATAAAAAAGATGTGGGCTTTTCCCAACTGAGATGTAATAATACATTTATGAAAAATAAAAATTCATTGGTAATTTTGAGGACAAGAAGAGCTTTCTGTTTGAATGAAGGACCCTTACTCCTGGTTTTTCTCCTGTAACTGAATCCATATACCTCTTTAATATCCACCTCTTTTCCACTTACCTGAATTCTCACTTCCCTAGTGTATCTGGTTGTGACAGAGAGGTTGAGGCCCCCTTGCAGTTGCATGCAAGATCCTCCAGCGTCTAATGCTGTGCATGCAGGGTGCAAGCCGAGGGCTGGGAACTAGCATGAACTTCACTGCCAGCTGAGATAGGATATGGATGTGTGATCCTGGATGTAACAGATTACAGCAAATCAAACCTTGGTCCTTCTTTCTTTGGTAGTGCAGATGTACTCGCAGTGTGCATTCAAAGTAGCCCTACTGCCATCTATATGTACTGTTTCTAGCTCTCATCTTCATTAAATTATGTTGGGCCCATGAAAACTGTTTCGAGAGTTACTTAGCTATTGTATCTCTTAGCCCTAAGGTATGCCCCATTTCCCCTTGCTTTAAAACTGTGTTGCCTTCTGGACTGGCAAGGCTTACAACTGAGTGTGAGTTGTCAAGCCCTCAGTTATAGGAACATCCTGTGACTTGATCTCTGCAGTTCGAGATGTCAAGGTTAAAACTGTGAATCTATTATTCACACGTCCCCTGGAGTCAGTCAACATGGACGTTTACTGGTTTGATTTGGTAAAACGGGTTTCTGTGGGAAGCGTTACTGGGGTATCATGCTAGTGATAGTAACTCTTTTTCTCTTGGCTTGCAGAGCTGTGCTGGCTTTTAGATCTGTTACCTACAGTTCAGCTCTTGAATTTGTCTTTTGGCTCGTAAGTAAGTGATTTCATTTACAAAGGTATTGAACACGTGTGGCTGCTGTTAATTTCCGTGGCTGCTCAGACCCCTGAAATCACTCTGCTCCTCTGTGGTACGTACATACACAGCTAGGTGGCCAGCAGAACGTCTTCAGTTAAAACATTTAGGGACGTCCCGCTTCTAGCCTTGTTATTCTTTTTCTTCTTCTTTTGGTTTTTATTTTGTTGTTAGGTGGATTTTTGAAGCGTAGGTGGATTTTTATAGTGTTTGAAATTTCTTTTGATACAGATTGTCCCTACTTTGCAGTGGTGTGTTGGTCACTGGTAGTGCAAGCTTCCTTTCTGTCAGGCTCCTAGAGGCAAACATAAACCTGTGACCACCTGGAGATTACCCACACCACGTGTTTCTGCGTAATTTAACTTTAATTGTTGCTAGCTTCAACTTTCATCTCTTTGTGACCTGAGATTGTGTGTGCTCTGTGTACATTTGCTGTGCCTTGAATTCATCTGCTGAGCCTTGGACCTGTAATTTTTTTGAGGAAGAACTCACTTGCTGTCAGTTAAGCATGTCTGTTAGTGTTGGTAGACCAAGATTTTGGATAGCAAGCTTTTGGGCATAGACACTATGTTTTTGTGTTTCAGTAATCAGTACACGAATCCACTTGTAACCTATGAGTGCTGCTATAGTAGAACTAACATGTTAATAGTAGGGGGATCTGGATTTTTATGAGTACATGCTGTGGACACATTTTGTCTCATCTTAGTTCAGTATATCATTACACTTGTTCAAGAGTGTTTGAATTCATTAGGCCCCTTGGGTCAGTTCAGCCAGCATATAGAGTTTTAGAATAATATCCAGATAACTGAGGTGCCAAAGGTGTTACTTTTGCATACAATATTATGAATCAGACATAAATAAAGAGAGACCTTGGCATTCAAATCCTTGTGGACCATAAGCCTGTGAATAAATTGGAAAGAATCACTGACAATTCCCATAGTACGATATGTAAACTGCATATTTGAGTTGTTCTCTGAACAACTGTCTCTGAACTTGCTTGTTTATATTCTTGTAAGTGTCTTTAGGAGTGATGATGTTTTCTGGGAGTCTAAACATACCTACCGTGAGAACACAAGTGCAAGTCCAGTGAAGACTGGAAGTGACTGAGAGTCATCACCAGGTGGTGGCTGTCCAGTCATTTGTGCCTGAAATCCATTGCAGTAGAGATCCTAGAGGATGGACGTCCACCTCACATTTGGTACCACTCATTATCCTTGCTGCCAATCTCTGTGAAGATGTCAAAGTTAGAACGAGCGTAGGCCTCAATAACTCCCCCAGAGATGCATCCTCACACCACCACTAACACGTGCTGGGAAGTGGAGTTGCACTCTGTTCCTTTTCCTTTGCTTCTTTTAAGAAAAATTGAGGAGTGTTCTTGAATTGATAGTCTGGCATCTATACAAGGCAGTCCATTAATTTAGAATTGCAGTTTCCGTTCAAACACACCTTCTTTGTTCTTGTTTTAAAATTAATGGGAGTAGTTGACATATTTTAGGAAGTTTTAGCTTCCATATTTGAGTTTTTTTTTAAAGGAGTCCTACAAAGTTTTTGTAATGTATTGCAGATGAAAAGGATAATTTAAAATATGACAAAAAATTGCAATAAGCCTTCCTCAGATCCACAGAGGAAGAAGAGGCATAGAGGCTGCTGGGAGATTGTGGCTGCAGGAAGAAATAATGCAGCACAGATTGGCTCCTGTGGCTCTGAGAATAGCTGTTCAGGGACAGAGCGTGGGTCCAAATTCTACCTCTGGCCTTTGGCCAGCAGCGGGTGCCTAGGAAAAATATAAGAAAAGGGCAAGGATACTGTGCTGCTTCCCCACTGTGTCTTCCCACCGCTGTAATTAGCTGGTGTCAAGGGTGGTCCCTTTTACTTATTAGGCCCAGCTGGATTTTTCCTCCTTGAGTTTGACTAATCTCTTCTTGAACCCATGTGAACTTTGGACACCAGCAATGCTGTGTAGCAGTAAGCTCTACTGTTCAGCTAATGTTAGATGAAGAATTATTGCTTTTTTTTTTCCCCCTCAAATTTTCTATTTATGAATTTCATACCATGGTCCCTGTATCTTTTTTTAGAGGAGACAATGAACTTCATCTCCAGTTCAACTTGAATGGTTTACACATGATTTTGGAGATCTTTATCATATTCATCGAGATAACAGGAGTGCACTAAAGGACTGTTGATATGGTTGAAATCTTTTATCAAATGGAGCTCAAGAAACTATTCCAAAACCTGTCTGAGTCATATTTAGAGGTGCTTTTGGAGGTGTATCTCTGTGTGATTGATGGAGCTAATCTGGTTCATTTCCATTATCAGAAAAAAATATGTTCGATGGCTTTGATTTTAACACTTTGATACATCTGAGCAATGTTCTTCTATTACACTTACTGGAATTTTGTCATGATATCCTCAGATGGTGTAATTCAGAGATTGATATCAGATGAGTGTCTGTGCCTTTGTGCATAGCAAAGGGAACTAGTGGCCAACGAATGCAGATGTTTTAGTGACAAATACTAAAACAAAATTATATGTTTGCTATTTCTAGATAGGAGGCCTGCACACTCTCTCTCACCCATCAGTACTCAGTATAGCAGTGAAGATGACTCTCATGCTGAAACGATGAAAGACAATGTTAAGAGCAAAGAGGAGTACAATATCAAAAGGGCATCGGATAACGCAGCACATGCACAGTCTGGAAATGAGAACGGGGAGAATAAACTGCTCAGAATGGAGGAAAATCAGGAAACTTTTGCACTGGAAAAGAAAGGAATAGATGAATCAGAAAAGGCAAAACCAGAAGATCTAACAGCAAGGGAAGATACTGGAATTTTTCATGAAAATATAATGGCAACACAGCATCAAAGTCCTGAAGTTAATGGGGAACCCAAACAGCCTGGGTCAGTAGAAAGTAACATAGGGGAAGATGGGGTGAAGAATGCAAGTACCGGGAGGGATGACGGGGAGGAAAGTCTTCTACTGCCTTTGCAAAGCAATATGATGGAAGTGGAGGATACCAATGAAGAGTCTCCTCAGAGTGACGAAGGAGGTGGTGAGTACAGTCCCTCTGCACAACTGTGAGTGACTAGTGCATGCACGTGTTGCTGTATTTGCCTTTATACTAAGTCATGGTGCAGCATGGGGAATGCAGTTGCTGGACTGTTTTCAAGCTACTAGAATACTCTGTACTGCTGTGAGCTAAATAACCACCCAGAATGTAACCTTGGTTTGTTGTTTCTTTTCTAGTGTTTCCAGTGTAAGGCTTTGGCTGTTCTTTTTCGCTCCAGTAGTTGGGTTTCACATACCATGCAATTATTATGAAATCCAAACGTGATTTATTACCTATAGGAGAATCTATATGCCGGGTTGGGGGACTCTGTTTATAATGTCAAAATACCAGATTCAAAAAGAACACCAAAAATTACCATGTGAATCATGGTGCAGCAGATGAAGATCAAAACTATGTCAGTTGATCCATGATTGTGTTGCTTCACTCTGTCATGGATTTGTTGGCAAGGAGCAAATCAGTTAGTTTTGTGACACCTCATTTTTACTTTTGATAAAATGGGCCTGGAGTCTTCTCTGGCTGCCATTCCAGAGATGGGGTCTGGTTGCACAGGCGGTTGCGCAAGCAGGCAGCAAAAAGCAGTAATTGTGGAGTGCAGCAGTAGCGCAAGAAGGTAAAGTAAGTCAAAAACAGTGGGAGGTGATTTGGGGCAAGACAGATTTTGCCCAGTTTGAGAAGGGGTAGCTTGGGAAAGACATTGGTCCTTGCTCCTTTCAGTGGCACAAAACTTCTCATTTTCTAAAGAACAGGAACCTGCCACGTTTGTACAAAACACGGGTGCAGCAGCACAGACTGCTGGGGGTGCCTGCCCAGGGACAGATCCCAGAGCACCGAATCTGATGAGGGCATTGCCGTTAAATTCCCAGGGGGTGGGAATCGACCTTCTATTATTCCCCTGGTGTAATTACAGAATCCATGAGAAGCAATTACCCATTTTACATGAACAGCTGAGTAGTATTCTTCCTGTGTGTGCATGTTTTACATGAGCAATTTACCACCTCTTTCTGAATTTTTCAATGTTACTGTCAAGCTTATAGCTCTTTCATACACACACCTGAGCTCGCTGCGAGGCAGGTGAGGGGAGGAGGGAGAGTAGGCAGGGCAGGCAGAACTGTCAGAGTTGAAAGCTGGTCATGCATCAACATTTTTCCTTAAATTAGTTATGCCAGTTGCTGGAACGGCAGCACTAGAAATGTAGTCAGAGCACAGGTGCATGATGAGAAGCAGCACAGCAAGTTTTCTTCTCGTCACCATGCTGATGCCCCTTCATTGCTTGGGAGAGAGAGCATCTTTAACAATAACCCTGTAAAACAGCCTTAACAGTAACACAGTTCTCAATAAAACTAATGTTTTGATTATTTCTTAATAGAGCCAGATGGAGCTTTCTTGGCAGAAGGAACAAGAACACTTGATGTGCAGAAGGCAGCAGAACAAGTGGTACGAGAAGGGCAGATGGTAGGGGAGAGACAAGCACTTGAGAAGGAAGATTTTGTTGCTGAGGGAGGAGATGCTCGCACCGAAGAGGTGGGAGAAGAAATGGCACGGGCGGGAGATTTGCTGCCCAAGGAAGACACAGTGGCTGTGCTGCAGGCGGAGGGTCAGCTTGTGGTGGAGGAATCTGCACCTGGGGAGGGCACCATGGCAGAAGAAGATCCCGAAGGAAAGGGGACAGGGAAGGGAATGGAGTCTGCTGCGGAGGTGGCACCTGGGGAAGTTCCGACGGAGGGGACGGAGAGCGAGGCAGCGCTGGGAGGGCAGGCACCTGGGGGAGAGGAGCCGGCAGGGGCAGGGGCACTGCTAGGCAGGGAGGCAGACGGAGCAGTGTCCGAGGGGGAGGAGGCGGCTGGGGAGGTCTCTGAGGGAGAAGAGGCTGCGGAGGAGGCCTCCGAGGCAAAGGAGGCTGTGGGAGCGACAGGGCCTCCAGTGAGGGAGGTGGTGGGTGAGACGGTGTCTGAGGCAGAGGAGGCCGTGGAGGAGGGAGGTTTTGCAGGGAAGGGCGTTGTGGCGGGTGCTGTGTCTGAGGGAGAGGAGGCTGTGGAGAATGCCAAGTTGGCAGAAGAAGGGATTGCCGAGGCAGTTGGCCCTGAAGGAGAAGAGTCTGTAGAAGAAGCCGTTTCTGCAGGGGAGGAGGCAGTGGAGAAGCCTGGGGCTCTCCTGGAAACATTAGGGGATACAAATGTGTGCGCTGGAGAAGCAATGCCTGGAGGAGAAGACTTTGTAAAGTCAAGTGAGTTTTA